CAACAGACTTGTTAATGAATATAACAAACTAGTTATGGGAACAACCCTATTAAAATTAACTACCTTCAGACAACAATTTAGCTTGATTTACTTTGTACTTTGACATTTCAAAATACTGGAAACTGCTGGAATCGGAGCCAAAGTGGTGCGTGCACTTCGCCGAGTGCTCCCGGGAGCGCAGCGGGGTTACTTGCACACTCTCCTTTAAGCCAAGGGCTGTGCCAGCTCCTGCCGGACTCTGCTTTTACGGTGTGACTAGCCACGAGTGGATCAGCGCTGACCTAGGGCAGGTATTTTTCCAAGGATGACAGTGCAGTACAGGTACATTGGCCTATTACAGAGACCCAGCAGCGCGCTATCGTTAGTGTGAAACATGCAGGCAGCAGGTCCGCAGTGCCTCCGTGCCTTCTGCAGGCACTTGCCCAACGTCACAAACCGTATTCCCCCAAATAACCTGACTTAATAAAACGAATACAGAGCTTCAGTGCAAGACATCTGTACCGATCTCCCCAGCAGACAAGGGTATTATTGATTCTACTACCACTGAATTTTTTTAAAAGCAGTTTGAATGTGGAACATGGACTTTTATTACTCAATATCAAAACTTCAAGGACCTGCCTTTATTTATCCATTTAAGAAACAGGTGGCTTACTGCTGCTGAGAGAGACCTACTGAATTAAAACATAGTACTGTTTTTAACTGTATGAATACATAAAAGATAAAACCTAAAAGCAAGCCATTTTTTAAAAGACACATGGGCAATGGTTGCAGCCTGCTAGGTTCTTTCGCTCTGGAAGCGAGAACAGGAATGATACCCTCGAAGCAGAGGCGTCCTGGGGTTCAGCCCCTGGCATTTTCAACACATTCCTATAGTAAACATTTCACACTGGATACATGGAGCTTGCTGTTTACATACTCTGTTTATATATAATATTCAGCAATTACAAACTAACTTAAAAAACTATATGCTGCTTAAAAGCATGAAGACAAGATTTAGGTCGCTGCCCATAAAACAATGTTTCCATGTTACATTTACAGCAATATTATTAAAGCATGTCTAAATGAAACTATATCTTTCCCTGGCCTATTGAGCCTGAATGAAAGCGTACATCTGTCAGTGCATTATTCCCCTTGGTCCCTAAAACGATGGGACCAAAGGAGAACTACAAAGGAAAAGAGACCACAAGTCAGAAGTTGAAGGCATAGCAGCAGTAGGGCAAACACCACAAAGAAACAGCCATGCCAGGAAGGTTAGCACCCCTTTAAAAAGAAAGAAAAAAAAACCTGTGAAATTGGAAAGTGATAACTAACACTATCTTTAAAAAAAAAAAAGTACAGAGAAGACATATTTAATCAAGATTTGAACTGACGCTTTTATAGTAGGTTACATCAGTTCATTAAGTGATGGCATATGCTATAGCAGCAAGCAAACCAGGTTGCTGATATGTGCTCAATATAACCTGCAAGTGTTTGGTCTTTATCCTGTAAGATACAGTGCTTTACACTTATTAAAAAGGGAGAACTGTTTTTTTTAATTTTAAGAAAAATTAATGTAGGAGTTCTGCTATCACTGAAGCCAGTGGGAGTCATGAAGTTAATTAGACTTGGATGAGATTGTCCCCTGTCTGATACATCCCATTTAATTTAGTTTACTAGGAGCAAAAATCTGGTCCTGAAATGCACTATGAGCAAAATATATACCTGAGAAAGCAATTTGGATTTTGTTTATGTTTAAAAAAATAAAAAAATAAAAAGGTGCTGCAAGCTTATAAATCATCTTTCTAATTTAGAGGAGCCAGTCATTTTTGAAAGGGGAGGGCATGTCTTTAATATCACAGATAAACTAAAGACGCTGAGTAGGACTTTAAAGGATAGCAGTGTAATAGCATGATTATGCGAGGAAAAAGGACATCGCCTAACAGCCTGATTTGCAGCTGAGGTCAACAGCAACTTTCAGCAATTCTGAAAGCTTGTCAATAAGCAACTCTCCAAATTCGATACAAGCGGTCGAGGGTGGAGCTCAACAGGGAACACGGAGCCTGGCTCCATCCGCAACACCGTTCTGTGATCGCCGACTGAACCCCGAGCAACCGGTAGCAAGCAGAGTTATCTATCTTGCAGAGAAGTAGTATCATTAAAAAGAAAAACCTGCAATACGCTGAATATCCCAAATTCCCTCTGCACTGAGAGTCGTAAATTCAGGTCTCATAACAGGATTGTCTTCTCCTAGTAATCACCCAGGGCATCTCCGTGCACAGAGGCCTTTATCTGAAAAACTGAGCATCTCACAAATGTTAACGTGGATCTTCAGTTTCCCTGCTGATCAAGTAAGAGCTGGGCACGTCTCCCTGTGCAGCATAGCGGGTTTAGACTGGCTTGCTCTGGTCATTAAACCAACGCTCCATCCCAAGTGGAGCACTCGCATCAAAGTGCAGCTATTCAGTAAAGGGCATTTTGTTTACAGAAATGACCTTTTGCAAGAACCATTGATGCTACAGTATCTTTTATCTTCTCACCTCTCGCCTTATATTTTTAGGACAGATTTCCTCACTATTTTAAAACATTCAAAATTCACCCCATTAAGAGTTATGTAGCCATCAGCTATTATTTTTACCTGGAATTAGTGTTCCATTATACTTGTTCAGACAGCGTTCATATTCCAAACACCCTTCCAAAACCAAAAGAAAGTGAAAAAGGCACATAAACATTAAATATTTGTAGGAGAAACATAATCTGATATTAACAAGCCAACACACAACTGCAACTATAAATTACAAAAAGAAACAAAGCAACGAAGCAAAAAATGCAAAAAGCAACTCTATTTATACATGTGCAAATCAACTTGCATATATGAAATAAATGAGGTTTTTATTGGCATTTTTAAACAGTGTGTATTTAGAAACTTTACCTTTCAAAGGCAAGTCTTTTATGTTAGTTTTAATAAATATGTAAATGTTTCTATCAAGTTTTCTAATCTCATAGGAACAAGACTTTTGAAAAAAACTAGGTCACATACAAAAATACAAAATTTTAAAACAAAGAATGTCTTGATATGAGAGATATGTTTAAAAGCTCGTAAAATGTTTTTTACACTCAACTTTTGCTATTTTTTAAACGTAATCACTGATCAATGTATTCAAATGCAAGTCTTGCAAAAACCTGAATTCCGAGTAAGGAAGCTGCTAGCTATACTGTTAGACGGAAAAACATACAGTAACACAGTCCCATCTCTAATATCCTTGTTTAAGTGCAATATTTGGACTACATGATTATGCTTTAATTAGAAAGGGAAACAGTTATGGAACTTGGACAGAAGGCTAACCTCTATCCTGAAATGTGGATATAATACACGTTTAAGTAAATCATTCAGACTTTTAAACACCGCCACACAGATCTGCCTGAGCGCTGCTCTGCAGAAGGATGCACTCCTCTGTAAACGCATGAGCACGGACGACTCTGGGATGGGGGGGCTCTCTCCAGTTCGGTGAGTAACGTTTACAATGTTTACCCACTCGTAGCTCTCATATGATGTTTTCCTTCTACAGAAATTTGGGCTGAAGCTATATTTCATAAAAAGTACTATTCCTTCTGCAAGGAGAGCTCCGCTACTAAGCTTAAAATTAGTAATACAAGCCTATGAGAAGTCACGGGGTTTGATCCTTTTTCTTTAAGGTCAATGACTCATTCCCTATAGATTTCAGTTGAAATAGGATCAGACCCAACCGATTCGGAAGCCAATTTACATGTTCTGTCCCTGGCTGAAACGCAAGCGGAGTCGGTATCTGCTCTTTCGTTTTTGCCAGGACGCGGTAATTCAGTTCAGTAGACTAGAAAGAAACAGTGCTACAGCATGAGAAAGGCCAGAGCTTATAATAGACTCTCCCTGCTGTGCTAAAGGCAGACTTACCATTGAGCAAAGCACTAGACCATAAAATGTTAAAATAACAAATACCAAAAAAA